GATGCATAATTAGGTCAAAGCGTGCTGCATCGGAGCCAAGCAATTAGAGAATGACCTGCTAAATATAGCTTCACTATATCACCGATAAGATGAACACTTGAATAGCAGGATCTGGCAACCAGCAACACAGCAACACAGACGACTGTGCTGAATTTAATAGATTTTTTTCGGAGGTGTGCGAATGATGAACTTAAAAGCTGCCTGCACAAAAAAAAAAACTTGCTTTTTTGGGGCTTTCAAAACTTTGGGCATGTTTGACAGTGAAAAAAATGACGAGAACCTCCGTTCCTGAAGTTTTAAAGGGAAAAACACATCAATTGTAGGGGGCCTCGTACCGAGCCTTGAGGGACCTCCTTTCAACGAGCTACAGAAATGCTGGTAATTTGCAATGCGAAAATTTTCAATATCGTTTTGAATGGATTACGGAGTGTTTTTGTGACAAGCAACTTTGAAAGGTGTGTTAAAGCTTTTATAATCTGTTATAATCTGTCAGATCTGTGGTTCAAGCGCGAGAGACAAACAGTATCGTAAGCCATGTTTCTTTTACGTGCCCCCAAAAAAAGATATTTAAAATAAACAAAACAATATGACGTCTTTTGACTGCTTTCTTTAATAACTACATTACACAATACTTGCACTTTTACTTTCAGTATTTGCGTAGCACATTTTGAAATAAACTACTTTCAATATTTAAGTGCAGAAAAAGTTGAATACTTTAGTACTTCCACTTAAGCTTTGTGCTTAAAGAGCACTTCTACTTCCACTCAAGTCACTTTTTTGATAAAGCACTTGTACTTTTACCTAAGTCTGGGAGTCTAGTACTTTATACATCGCTAGAGCATTCGCTCAGAGAGACGCCACAGTTCGGTAACAAAACAAGTGGAAGAAGAATAATTTGGAGACACAAGTTGTCAGTGTTGCGTTTATAAATGTGCTGCAACGAAGGTTTTTCATTTCCCCGCTATGAGAGTGCAGCTGGACTCACGTGTGGATTACAATGCACACGACAGAAATACGTTTGTTTGTTGTTGTTGTATGCCTGGGTATACGTTTACACGCAAAATGTAGTTAGATGCATAATTAGGTCAAAGCGTGCTGCATCGGAGCCAAGCAATTACAGAATGACCTGCTAAATATAGCTTCACTATATCACCGATATGATAGATAAACACTTGAATAGCAGGATCTGGCAACCAGGCGCACAAAGCTTAATTCAGTTTAGCGTATCTGAAGCTGATAAACAGGCAATATTAAATTGCAAAGCACTGGTTAGTGTCACGATCATTTTCAACAGCTTGAGTATGAGCAGGGCACAGACGACTGTGCTGAATTTAATAGATTTTTTTCGGAGGTGTGCGAATGATGAACTTAAAAGCTGCCTTCACAAAAAAAAACTTGCTTTTTTGGGCGCTTTCAAAACTTTGGGCATGTTTGACAGTGAAAAAAACTGACGAGAACCTCCGTTCCTGAAGTTTTAAGGGGAAAAACACATCAATTGTAGGAGGCCTCGTACCGAGCCTTGAGGGACCTCCTTTCAACGAGCAACAGAAATGCCGGTAATTTGCAATGCGAAAATTTTCAATGGCGTTTAGAATGGATTACGGAGTGTTTTTGTGACACACAACTATGAGATTAAGTAAATTGACTAAACCAAATCAGCACCATATTCAATTCCACCAGTAACACACCACCTTAGCAATCCTTAAGCAGCAGGAGAGGGGGTGGGTTCTCGAGATCTACCTGAGCTCAAACTCCCCTCTCGCCCTGCAACGGGAGGGAGCCCCGGCCTCGAGGATCTCATGAGCTCAGGGCTCTCTCCCGGGACAGCATGCCAAACTAGCTTAATACCAATCATCAGCTAACTGTGTGTTTTTTTTTAATGACATGCACAGATGACATGTTCACCACAAAACTAGCAATGTGAGCGAACAAAATCATCATGGTTAGTTTTGATTTCACGTGTACTTTGAGAACCCTCTGCTTTGCCTGGTTCTGCATAGATGCTCCTTAAACCGCACACTAAAAGGAAAACACTTCCAGTATACAATGCTCATTATGCTCTTATGGATCGGCCGTGTCGAGTGGTAAGTGATCTTTATCATTTCCCCCCAGCGTCTTCCGATGGCTCTTGAAATTTACCATGCTACGCTTTCCGCCACCAGGAGAACGTGGGATGCGCCGTAGCGTTCGATTTATAAGCCTGATTAAACCAGGCAAGAAACATGAGGGAAATCAACATAAAATCACCAGCAAAACCTTTACGCCGCGTTCTCGCTGATTGGGCCTCGGTTCTTTATGATGGCACAGATCACAGAGGCCCTTAAATAAAGAGGAATAAACGCGTGTGAACAATACCCCAGGGCTCCTCCGGGAAGATGAGTTATTGTGTTAGGCTTCTGCTCATTGTTTGGTGGCTGGAATAAGTGGATGCCTTTAACTTGCGGCATGTCCTCACAATATGCATCGTAAATTTTCTGATAAACATCCAGTGATGTTTGTTTGTTTGTGTTTATTTGTCCCTAGAAACGTCTAGGTTCATAACGGAGATTAGAGCGGTGAACACACTGTACTTAGGCGACTTTGTCAATTTATTAATCAGGGGTCGCCACAGAGAAATCAACCGCTAACTTATCCAGCATGCTTTACACTGCGGATGCCCTTCCAGCTGCAACCCAGTACTGGGAAACACCCATACACAATCATTCACACACACTCTTATTCATTTTCTTTTCGACTTAGTCCCTTTATACATCGGTCACCACAGCGGAATGAACCACCAACTATTGCAGCATATGTTTTACACAGCGTATGCCCTTCCAGCAGCAACCCAGTACTGGGAAACACCCATACACACTCATTCATTTATTTTCTTTTTGACTTAGTCCCTTTATACATCGAGGGTCACCACGGCGGAATGAACCACCAACAATTCCAGCATATGTTTTACACAGTGAATGCCCTTCCAGCAGCAACCCAGTATTGGAAAACACCCATACACACTCATTCACATACACACACACACTCATTCATTTATTTTCTTTTCGACTTAGTCCCTTTATTAATCAGGGGTCACCACAGCGGAATGAACCTCTAACTTGTTGAGAATTGTTTTACACTGCAGATGCCCTTCCAGCAGCAACCCAGTACTGGAAAACACCCATGCACACTCATTCACACACACTCATTCATTTTATTTTCGACTTAGTCCCTTTTTTTATTAGGGGTCACCACAGCGGAATAAACCACCAACAATTCCAGCATATGTTTTACACAGCGGATGCCCTTCCAGCAGCGACCCAGTATTGGAAAACACCCATACACACTCATTCACACACACACACTTATTCACACACACACACACACACACTTATTCATTCATTTTCTTTTCGACTTAGTCCCTTTATACATCAGTCACCACAGCGGAATGAACCACCAACTATTGCAGCATATGTTTTACACAGCGGATGCCCTTCCAGCAGCAACCCAGTAATGGGAAACACCCATACACACTCATTCATTCATTTTCTTTTCGACTTAGTCCCTTTATGCATCAAGGGTTGCCACAGCGGAATGACCCACCAACTATTCCAGCATATGTTTTACACAGTGAATGCCCTTCCAGCAGCAACCCAGTACTGGAAAACACCCATGCACACTCATTCACACACACTCATTCATTTTCTTTTCGACTTAGTCCCTTTTTTTATTAGGGGTCACCACAGCGGAATGAACCACCAACAATTCCAGCATAACTTTTACTCAGCGGATGCCCTTCCAGCAGCAACCCAGTATTGGAAAACACCCATACACACTCATTCACACACACACACTTATTCACACACACACACACACACACACACTTATTCATTCATTTTCTTTTCAACTTAATCCCTTTATACATCAGTCACCACAGCGGAATGAACCACCAACTATTGCAGCATATGTTTTACACAGCGGATGCCCTTCCAGCAGCAACCCAGTAATGGGAAACACCCATACACACTCATTCATTCATTTTCTTTTCGACTTAGTCCCTTTATACATCAAGGGTTGCCACAGCGGAATGACCCACCAACTATTCCAGCATATGTTTTACACAGCGGATGCCCTTCCAGCAGCAACCCAGTACTGGGAAACACCCATACACACTCATTCACACACACACACTCATTCATTAATTTTCTTTTCGACTTAGTCCCTTTATACATCAAGGGTTGCCACAGCGGAATGAACCACCAACTATTCCAGCATATGTTTTACACAGCGAATGCCCTTCCAGCAGCAACCCAGTACTGAGAAACACCCATACACACTCATTCACACACACACACTCATTCATTTTCTTTTCGACTTAGTCCCTTTTTTTATTAGGGGTCACCACAGCGGAATGAACCACCAACAATTCCAGCATATGTTTTACTCAGCGGATACCCTTCCAGCAGCAACCCAGTATTGGAAAACACCCATACACACTCATTCACATATACACACACACACACTCATTAATTTTTTTTCTTTTCGACTTAGTCCCTTTATTGATCAGGGGTCACCACAGCGGAATGAACCGCTAACTTATTGAGAATTGTTTTACACAGCAGATGCCCTTCCAGCAGCAACCCAGTACTGGGAAGCACCCATACACACTCATTCACACACACACACTCGTTCATTCATTCATTTTCTTTTGATGTAGTCCCTTTATTCATCCAGCGATAGCCACGGTGGAATGAACCGCCAACTTAGCCGGCATGTTTTACACAGCGGATGCCCTTCCACTGATTTAAAACAGCTTGATTAACTCATAAAATTAAGTTGAAGCATGATTAACTTAGTTTAATAAGTTACAATTAACTAAAAACATACATGACGTATTGATTATATGTTTTACAGTGTACTTTTAAAAGTAACACTGCTGGTAATAAACTTAAATCAATTTATATAGGAACATACATTTAATAGACTAATCTAAACATAGCCATTCGTGGTTTAGCAGTAATTGTCTCCTACAAATAGGCCAAACTATGGCTAATATGCTGAACATTCCATTCATACGAGCAAATGCGCTTGTAAAACAAACAGGCTATAATAAAGAAAATGAATCTGTTTAGGGCCAGCTTATTCCCCGCAGTGTCCATCCATAGACGTCCTATTTTGGAGGTGGGATGGTTTTAGTGAGGGTTTCAAATGACCGAGCGGCTCCTCTGTGCGCGCTCTCTCGCTACAGAGCGGTGGTGACGTGTGCGCGCTCGCGCGGATCCCCCGCCTGCACCGCTGAGTTTGGGGAGGGTGAACGAGCGGGAGAAAAAGGGGGGCAAAAGAATCCCCCATCAATCTGCCCCTACCCCCAGCCGAAGCCCAGGACCTGAAAGAAAAGATCTGCTCCAGCTCCGGGACGCGGCGGAGCGGCGATCGACCGACATTTAAACCTCGTTTTAAAGCGCGTTCGCGGAGTTCCGTGCGCTCTTGGAGAGTTTACGCACGCACGCCGTCGACATGGCATGGATAACTGTTTACTCCGGGTGAAAACTTCGCGTTCCTGAGGAGTTATTTGGAGTTTTTTGCTTTGCTTTACATGGATGCGCCGTTGAGAGGAATTATATGGTCGCACCGCATCTGCATCGATCCCAAGTGAAGTTGCGTGGACGCGCGTGGAAGAGTTGTAAGTAAAACCATTTTAATTAACTATTTGATCACTCTTTTAGATACCCTTTTATACAAATATTGAAAAATTTTTATACAAATAGTTTGTATTACACAGAGCTACTTCAATGTTAGTTTTAGTGATGCTTCATTGATTGCATTGTGTGCATTTTCAAAATGTTGGGTTGTTGTCGTCACCAAACGTTCGGTCAAATGTGCACAAACACAACATTGTTTTTTTTTTTTTCAACTCAGTTTAAATGATACTTTTCAACCAAATGGTTGGGTTTGTGTGTATTTTAACCCAACATTGGGTTGTGTTTTAGAGTGTAGGGGGTATACATTGAAATGTGTGGAATGCCTTGGTTTTTTCTGTATATACTGTAGCAGTCTAACGGGTTTCATGTCGCTGTTTTTACATCTTTCATCTTCTGTTGTGGGTCTCTGAGACCTCCATGCTCTAACTTCACAACTTTTACTTCTCCAGTTATTATGACGGATCACAAACACGTTTGATAACCAACCGAGCACTTTTGAAATGCTGCATCAGCTACTTCAGTCTCGGTGATCCTAAGTATACAAAAATGTGACGAACTTGGAATTTTTACATTGTGGGTGTTTTATTTAGCTTGGATTTGACTTGTTCTTTATTGTACTGTTCAAATATCAATGTGACCTCAAATCAAATGCAATTTCTGTAAAAAAAAAAAAAAGGGGGGATGATTTACTTAATACAGTATAAGATTAAGGGGATTATTCACCCCGAAATGAAAATGTACTCACTGTTTACTCTCCCTCAAGTAGTTCTAAACCTTTTATATCTTCTGTTGGACACAAAAGAATATATTTTTGAGGAAAACTGTAACCACTGACTTCTGTTGTGTTGGTTTTTCTTACTATGCAAGTCAATGGTTACAAGTGGCTGACCAAAAAGAGGAAAGAAGCTTCTGAAGGTTTAAAAACAAGTAATAATGACAGAATTTTCATATTTTTAGTTGAACTATCCCTTTAAAACTTTGTTAATATCTATTAAATGCTCTTTTGTTGGGGTTAGAGAAACACATTTTGAATATCTTCCAGAATTACTGCAAGCTGTCTGACATTTTCATTTAATTTGGGGAGCACAGCCAGTCTCAGATAATGAGGAGTGTTGGAAAGTAACTTTTTCTGGAGCTTTACATTGTGGTTGCTTTATTTAGACTAGATTTTGACTTCTTTATTGTAATTAGTTCAAATGTCAATGTGACCTCAAATCAAATGCAATTTCTCGGGGGGAAAAAAATGATGATTTACTTAATAAAGTATAGGATTAAGTGGATTATTCACCCCAAAATGAAAATGTCACTCTTCACATAAGTAGTTCTAAACCTTTTATATCTTCTGTTGGACACAAAAGAAGATCTGTTTTTGGGAAAATGGTAACCACTGACTTCCATAGCAGGAAAAGCAAACACAATGGAAGTCAATGGTTACAAGTTGCTGACCTAAAAGAAGAGGGTTTAAAACAAGTAAATAATGACAGAATTTTACTGTTTTTGGTGAAACTATCCCTTTAAAGCTTCATTAGTATCCATGAAGTGCTCTTTTGTTAGGGTTGGAGAAACACATTTAGCAGAATTACTAACCTTTTTGCGAGCTTTTCTTTTAATTTGGGGAGCACAGCCAGTCTCAGATAATGAGGAATGTTGGAAAGTAACTTTTTTTTTGGAGCTTTACATTGTGGTTGTTTTATTTAGCTCCTTTGGTAATTGTATTTGACTTGTTCTTTATTGTAATAAGTTCAAATATCAATGTGATCTCAAATCAAATGCTATTTCTGGAAAAAAGGATGATTTATTTGATGAAGTATACAAATAAGGGGATTATTCACCCCAAAATCAAAATATACTTACTATTTACTCTCCCTAAGTTAGTTCTAAACGTTTTACATCCTCTGTTGGACACAAAAGAAGATATTTTTTTAGGAAATCAGTAACCACTGACTTTCATAGTAGGAAAACAAACACACGGAAGTCAATGGTTACAAGTTGCGGAATAGAAAGGGTTTAAAACAAGTAAATGATGACAGAATTGTCATGTTTTTGGTGGAACTATCCCTTTAAAGCAATATCCTCCATCAGAGATGAGACCTTTTATCAACATTTACATTTTGAATAAGCTGCAGGAGGAGTGGGATGCATTGGAAAATAAAAAATGACATGAAATCCAACCTGAAATCTCAAACAGAAGGACATTTTAAGACTAGATTTGATCAAGTGAATTTTACCCGATGTCGTATTGGGCATACAAGATTAACTCACGCCTTTTTACCTAAAGATGAAGACCCTAATCAATGTTTGTGCTGCAAAACTCCCCTTACTGTAAAACACATTTTACTGGACTGTCCTGAATTTAATGATTCCAGAAGCCTTTTTTATTAAATGAACTCTCGTAAGGACATTTTTAGCAAAGTGACAACAGAAAAATGTTTAGAATTCTTATCATGTATCAACACAAAACATCTTTTTATTTTTTGTATTCTTTTATTTATATATATATATATATATATATATATATATATATATATATATATATATATATATATATATATATATATATGTATATGTATATGTATATATATATATATATATGTATATGTATATGTATATATTTATATGTATATGTATATATGTATATGTATATATGTATATATTTATATGTATATGTATATGTATATATGTATATGTATATATGTATATATTTATATGTATATGTATATGTATGTATGTGTATGTGTGTGTGTGTGTGTGTGTGTGTGTGTGTGTGTATATATATATATATATATATATATATATATATATATATATATATATATATATATATATATATATATATATATATATATATATATATATATGTATATATGTATATGTATATATGTATATATGTATATATGTATATATTTATATGTATATGTATATGTATATGTATATATGTATATGTATATATTTATATGTATATGTATATGTATATGTATGTATGTGTGTGTGTGTGTGTGTGTGTGTGTGTGTGTATATATATATATATATATATATATATATATATATATATATACACACACACACACACACACACATACATATATATACATATATATATATATATATATATATATATATATATATATATATATATATATATATATATATTGAAATGTTATTGCCATAAAAATAGCCTTGGTTGCTGATATGGGAATAAAACAAATACATACATGCATATTCCTTTAAAGCTCCATTAATATCCATGAAGTGCTCTTTTGTTAGGGTTAGAGAAACACATTTTGAATATCTTGCAGAATTACTAACCTTTTTGCGAGCTTTATTTTTGACTTTGGGGAGTACTGCCAGTCTCAGATAATGAGGAATGTTGAAAAGTAACTTTTTCTGGAGCTTTGAATTATGGTTGTTTTATTTAACTCCTTTAGTAATTGGATTTGTCTTGTTCTTTATTGTAATTAGACCTTAAATTTAATGGATTTAAAAAAATTGATTTATTTGATACGGTATAAGATTAAGGTGATTATCACCCCGAAATGAAAATGTGCCCACTATTTATTCTCTCTTGAGTAGTTCTAAACCTTTTAGATATTCTGTTGGACACAAAAGAAGATAATTTCAGGAAATCTGTAACCAAGGACTTCTGTTGTGTTTGTTTTATGGAAGTCAATGGTTTGAAACAAGTAAATAATGACAGAATGTTCATGTTTTTGGTGGAACTATCCCTTTAAAGCTTCATTAGTATCCATGAAGTGCTCTTTTGTTAGGGTTAGAGAAACACATTTTGAATATCTTGCAGAATTACCAACCTTATTGCAAGCTTTTTTTTTCTTTCTTTGGGGAGCACAGCCAGTCTCAGATAATGAGGAATGTTGGAAAGTAACTTTTTCTGGAGCTTTAGCAAAACGGTCACATTGACATTCGCAGCTAATGTGGAAATGTAGAGTTGGGAAGCTGAATAAAAACACATTTCTGGAGGTTTAGCATTAGCAGATTTAAACGGAAGGCATTATTGAGAAGGATATTTGCTCTCTTAAGCCAAGTAATCATCTAAACATTATGAATTCCTGTCTGTATTTGAGGTAAAGTTGGATTTATATTCATTCAGTGACACTCTCTCTATATTGTTTACCATGGTACTTTTGAATATTTTAAACCACACAAGAGTATGACTTCAAACCAACATAAGCACTATTCATTTGACTCTGAACAATGCTTTGATAGTCATAGGCTACTAATATGATATCTCTGTGTAGAATTTGCAAAGCATACTTTTCTGAGCAGGAGAAAGTCTGAATGTGTGAATATTAAACCAACTTTACCCCAATCGGTCTGTATTGTCCTAACCTAAAGTTTATTTCCATCCCAAGAGAAACATAAGTTCATACAGAGGTTTTAGCGAGGCTGGGTAAAAGCATAGTGCAGGTATTGTCTTGATTCGTTTAGTCACAGATAATGCAGGGGTCATTAATCACTGTAATGTGACTTTGGGGGGCCCATATGAGCATCAGTCTACGCTGAAAGCTCTGGTTTTGCTTTTAAGAAACGTTCGACCTGAGAGTTGACTTTGATCTGGATTTGGACTTTGTTGACGTCTCTTTCTATATCTTTGATGGCGACGATTTACTCTTGTAAAGGGTCTTGCATTAAAAAAGTAAAATTTAGGCCTAAAGTTCACTGAAATATGGTGTTGTTAGTCTTAAATGCTTTTAAATGGGTCCTAAATTTCATTTCCTCATGTAAAGCTACACTGTAAAAAAAAAAAAAAAAAAAAAAAAAAACTTGCCTGCATGGAGCATTTACTCGTGCATCATACTGTTATGTGATGCATTGTATGTACGCTTTACTAAAAATAAAGCTCTTTAATCTAGTTTTGAACTGAGAAGCCATAAATGAGAAGGCTCTACCTCCTTTAGTGGACTTTGTGTGCATGCTTTACTAAAAAGATAGGTCTTTAATCTAGTTTTGAACTGAGAAAGTGTGT